CTGTGTCTCCCTCTCTCTCTCTGCCTCTCCCCTGCTTGCTCTCTCTCTTTGTCTCTCTCTCTCAAAAACAAAACATTTCAAAAATTTGTGTAAAATGAACACCCCAACTCCTCATTCCCACTAGCTACATATCAAATGCCCAAAGGTCACATGTGTCCCCTGGCTGCCGTATCAGACAGTAAACATTACAGAACATTTCCATCAGCACAAAACGTTCTATGGGACTGCACAGCTCTAGAATGAAATTCCAAGGGGGACGGAGCATACCCTGCCTCTGCCCTGCTGACAGACGGCCTAGGTAAATGGGTAAGGTTTTGTGGGAAGACAATCTGCATGGCACAGTCTGCGAACAAGCCATTCATTCAACTACAGGACTGATGTCAGCAGTGGAGGGAGCTGTCAGCTGAGGCCCCATGGCCAAGCACGATCAAGCGGAGGATGGATGGCCACCTGGGGGGAGTGGGCCCTAAGAGACTATGAGTGGGGTGTGTGTGTGCCTCCATGCACACGCATACCCATGCATCTGAGTTTGTACATGTGTTTATGGAATGATGAGGAAGAGATCCTGCCTTAAATGACCCCCGAGGTCCTATCTCTCTGAAGAGTGTATTCCACTCCATATCTTTGGCCTGTTCTTAAAGTTCTCTGGGAAAGAAATGCCCTAGTCTCTAGCGTTCTCAAGCTTCACTTATTATATTAAAATTTTTACAAAATTCTTTTATATCTCTTGAGGAGAAACATACTTACAAAAACCTGAGGTCACTTTTCTCTGTGCAGATGGAACCTCTCTCATGTTGTGGTTTTAGCTTCTTTTCTCAACAGATTTAAAAACCAGGCACTCATTATAGTGTGGTGCAATTCCCCCAAAGTGGGGGTCAGGCATCACTGTTGGTATTTGAGAACATTTTAGGAGGCATGTAGACACTGCTTTAAATAAGGGTGAGTCCGGGGCACCTGGGTGGCGCAGTCGGTTAAGTGTCCGGCTTCAGCCAGGTCAATGCATCTTCGTCCCAGAGTTCGAGTCCGGCCAGGCTCTGATGGCCTGAGCCTGGAGCCTGCCTGGGATCTTGTGTTCTGCTCCTCACTATGCTCTGTCTCTCTGTCCCAAAAAAATAAATAAAAACAAGAAAAAAAAAAAAAAATTAAAAAAAAAAAATAAGGGTGAGTCAGATGGGGCACCTGGGTGGGTTCAGTTGAAGGTCCCACTTCAGCTCAGGTCACGATCTCGTGGTCCGTGAGTTCGAAAGCCAGTGCTCTGGGCTGCCCTGCTCGAGTCTGGAGTTTGCGCTGGGATTTCTGTGTTCTCCTTCTTCTTTCGCTCCCCTTCCTTTTCAGCCATGCTCTGTCTCTCTGTCTCAAAAATAAATAAACGTTAAAAAAAATTTAAATAATAGTGAGTCAGAAATGAGAAAATTATTCACCTTTCAACTCCCTTTCAATTTAATTTGATTGCATCAAACAGAAGCTTCATTTGGTCGCATTATGCCTCATAACAGTTGTTAATCTTTTTGTTTTTAATGTTGATTTATCTTTGAGAGTTTTATATATTTGGTGAGCATGACAGGGGAGAGAGAGGGAGACACAGAATCTGAAACAGGTTCCAGGCTCTGAGCTGTCAGCACAGAGCCCGTGAGATCATGACCTGGGCCAAAGCTGGATGCTCAACTGACTGAACTAATTTAGTGCCCCTGCCCACCTGCCCCCTTAACAGAGGGAAAGGGAAACACAGGTTCTGAGCCTCGGACAGGGGAGGGAAATCTAACTAGGATTTGAGAATCATTTTGTATTTATTTATTTATTTAATTATATTTGTGAGAGAGAGAGAGAGAGCATGAGCAGGGGAGGGGCAGAGATAGGGAGAGAGAGAGAGAGAGAGAGAGAGAGCGAGAATCCCAAGCAGGCTCTGTGCCCACAGCACAGAACCCAATACAGGGTTTGATCTCACGAACTGTGAGACCATGACCTGAGCCAAAGTTAAGAGTCAGGTGCTTAACTGACTGAGCCACTCAGGTGGCCCTGATTGTATTTATTTTTAAGGTCACTTTCTATTTATGGCAAGTGATTCTGGTCTTCCATTTTATGACAGTGATTAAAATATTCCTTTCTAAATAAAAGTACTTAAGAGTCTATGTCAATAAAGACATTGATAGAGCATATGGTAGGTAGATGAAGGCCAAAGTTATACAGACAGTACAAGAACGATGGTCATTTTGGAAACTCTGTTTTGATGAAAGAGTAGTGGACGTTACAGTCCATTCTAGTTGAGGAAATTGAGTCAGAAACCCCAGTCGTGGGACCTTGGGCAAATCACTTCAGCTCCCTGTAAAAGGTGGGCAGTGATGGGGAAAGTACCTGTCTTGCCCAACTGATGAGATCAAAGGTAATGATAAGGTGGGATAGTTGGTAAACCTCCAGGGTGGTGCTGAGGGAGTATGCTACACCAGCATAAGGTGTTATTACCATTGCCCTGTGCCCATAGGATTAGTAATCATTCTTTCAAAACCAAAAGGACAGCTAATCATATCTGGATTCTTAATCCTTCAGGGCAAAACTGGCTCCTTATGGAATCACTGGAAAAAGTCTAGCGATTCTGGTGGGAATGGGGAAGATCATTGTAAGAACTGGTTACCATTTGGTGCCGCCTCTTCTGGATAGAACTTGGAGTGGTCTGGGGCCTCAGTCTCCACCCATATCCAGACCCCTATTCTGTACTGAGTCAGATGCACACCAGGGTCTTGGGGGTGGCCTTTTGTGATGTATTGTCACTCGAAACAGGTGTTTTGCTAAACTGGGTAGGGAAAGTTGTGTAACAGATATTCTCATGGATTTGGACTCTGGGGTTCCTCTTGTGTTTAGCGTAGTAGTTTCTCCTAGAGGATTTGGATTTCTGTAGGTAGCATCCCATTGACCTGGGAAGGGAAGAGGAAATAGAAAGCTGCAGTCAGTCATTTGCTGAGCTTAGGCTTTTAAGAAAAATCTGGTAAGACCATCTGTGAAAAGAGACAATAAAATGATTTGTTCCATTCTTGATGAGGGATCACATAGATGCATGTGAAGTTAATTGATAGGAAAAGACAGTAAAACTTATTTTTAAAATCATATTAATGGCATAAAAATAGCATCAGAGTTCAAAGGGATACTAAATTCAACAGAAAAGATTTACTAAGAATTCAACAGGATTGGGGAAGACTTCTGATAGAGTAGAATGCGCTAGGTGCCAGGCTGTTTACTGAGCATTTTATAATCATTATCTCACATAACACAACAATCCCAGGAGATAGATATTATATTCCCATTTTATCCACAAGGAATAGGCTTTGTGAGGTTCATTTTTCCATGGTCAAACAACAAGTTAAACTGATAAAAATCTAATTTTATCAGAACCCAGTTCTGAGTCCAAAAATGAGCTCTTAACCACTATGATACACTGTCTATTGGAATGTCAGGCTGGGAGGAGCCTGAGAAATTTAGTTAAATCAAAACCCTTCACGTAACAGATAAGTAAACAAGCCCAGTGTCATTTCATCCAGTTTGGCCATAGTAAAGGATTTGTGTAGAAAACTGGTAGAAAATGGAAGAAGGGGGGCGCCTGGGTGGCGCAGTCGGTTAAGCGTCCGACTTCAGCCAGGTCACGATCTCGCGGTCCGTGAGTTCGAGCCCTGCGTCAGGCTCTGGGCTGATGGCTCAGAGCCTGGAGCCTGTTTCCGATTCTGTGTCTCCCTCTCTCTCTGCCCCTCCCCCATTCATGCTCTGTCTCTCTCTGTCCCAAAAAATAAATAAACGTTGAAAAAAAAAATTAAAAAAAAAAAAAAAAGAAAATGGAAGAAGGGAGTGAACATGTATTAGGGGTCTATATCCAGATTCATATTGTCACTTGACCGTCATACCACCCTATGAAGTAGATATTATTCTCACTTCACAGATAAGGAAACCAAGGCCTAGAAATGTTAAAGCAATTTCCCTAAAGTTCCAGGTTTATATGATACAAAAACCAAAGTTCTTCTTCCTACAACATCCTCATAACTTTCCAAGTTGAGAAAGCGAGGTCAGCTATGAAGAAACGGGGCTAAGAGCAGTGAAACGTCCTGAAGAGGTGTGAACAGGGAATGATGGATTGGAGGCAGCACCTTAGGAAAGCAAACTTGGTGTGGAGAGGAGATTGAATAGGATGGACCTGAGGCAGGGGAGTGCTGCTGGGGCGGGGGGTTACTGCGGTGAAGGCTTTTGGTGACAAGCCTGGAACCAAAGGTACCCAAGGTAGTTAAGAAAGAGTAAGCCCTCAAGAGGCATAGTTAAGGGAGTACCCAAGAATTTTCAGGGTTTGGTAAAGGGAATGAAAGGGAGGAAGGAGACATGGTGCTGAGGTCTTGATCCAGAAGCATCTGAGAGGGCAGCCATGCCCTAGATGGCCATGGGGAGGGCAGGAAGGATCATCTTTGGAGGGGAGGGGAGGGGAGGGTGAGTCGGCTGATTCTGAGGGGATAGCATGACAAAGTCAAGTCAAGTGCCCATCAGGAAGTTGGAAAGAGATGAAGGTAGAGTTCGGGAGGAGGGTCAAGGCTGCAGATGAATATTTGGGAGCCATTAGCACTCCAGGGATCCAAGGGTGTAGGGATAGAAAGTGCATGGGATAGAAAGCATACCCTCAGAGTTACCTGTCTCCCCGAAACATGGGACAAAACTGCATCTTAACAAAGGAAGATAAACACACACGAGTACACCCAATTTTGTCCCCTGCAAGTTTGCTTGCACACTCGTGTCAGTGTGGCATAATAGTGAGAAATCTAGATCTGATTGCCCTCCTTTCTCTAGCAAGGCTGGGTTTAGAAGCCCTAAGAGGAAAAGCACATATCTGGAACAAATGTCTGGCCTTGATCAAGTTGTGGGACAGACGTCAGCCCAGGGGAGGTGTTTTGGTCTCACTCTCACCCACCTCCCTTCCTTTCTTGCCCCTCAGTTCCTGCTCCCCCATCTCCAGGTCCTTGCCCATTTTGTCTTACCTAAAATTCCCAAATACACTCTTTGGTAATCTCCTCGCTGTCTGCCAACAGGGTGCCGCTTCGGTCGGATCGCATGTAGAAGCCATTGGGTGCCAGTACTGTGAGCAAGTTGCTCCCATGAAGCTCTATACAGAAGTTGAGAGCGAACTTTCCCCAAGGGCGAAAGGTGCCAAAGGACGTTATTGACCAGAAGGATCCACCCTGTGCTGAGGAGGGAAGAGCTCAGGTCAGTGCCCTATTCAGGACAAAGTTCTCCAACAGTACAGCCTGAGGAGGCTCCTGGGAAGCATGCCAACCCTCCCTGACTACCCTACCCTGCCTGTGTTGGCAGGTCCCCTTATGGAAATACAGGAGGGCTGGGTTTTGTTCGGCCGACCCATTCTTGGGGGGGGGGGGGGTCTTGAAGTGTGAAAACAAACAGAAACTCTGTTTCTCCTTTTATGGTGAGTAGGGTCTGAGCAGCAGGCCCTGAAGTCTGAGTTGGGGCCAAGGCAGGGCTAGACTCTGACCCCAGGGATGAAGAGGAGCTCCTCACCCTGGAAGTGGTAGATGCCTTGGTGGCAAGGCAGCAGGTGAATGCAGTCAGGCTGATCCATATTGCACTTCATTAGGTCGTGTTCTGATGAGGTGCCCACATACCCATAACGACCTCGCAATACGAGGAAGGGACGGTTAGCTAATCGAATCCCAAATTCCTCATTTGGGCCTAAAAGAAACAGAAAGGAGTTATCTGGATGAGCTGCTTCTAGATGTCTTCACCGATAGAAGCAGGAAGAGGGGCCCTAATTGTAAGGTGTTGTCAATACTTTAACAATTTTTGAACACCTACTATGTGCTGGATTGTATGCTAGGTGCTTATGAAATGTTTGTGAAAGCACTTGTGGAACCCGAGAAATGTTGATGTTCTTCCTTCCTTTGAGATGTGTGAGCCTATTTAATCCTCACGATAATCCTGTGAGGCAGGCAGGTTGGATATCACTTCCATTGATAATGGAGCCAATGAAACTGAGGCTCAAAGAAGTGGTTTGCCCAAGTGATGACAAAAAATCAGTGACTCAGCAAATATACAGACCCAAATCTTCTGGCTCCAACTCCAGTGCTCTTTCTGTCATATCTCAGCTCCCTCTGAAAGCATCTCTGACTTGGAATAACCTGGCAGGAAGGCTGTTGTGCTTACCTGGAATGGTGGCTTTGGCCATCAGCAGGCCATTGTCTATGATGCCCAAGAAGCGTCCATTGGGAGCCTGCAGGATAATCCTGCCGCAGTTCCAGTGCATGTGGAAGAAGGTGCCAGACTCCATTGGGTGCCCATTAGCTACCACTGTCCTGTGGTGCCTCTGGAGAGATGATAGGGAGCAGAGAGGGGAAACAAGGACTGAAAATCTCAGCTTTCTTCCCAGCGTTTCTATTCCTAGACCCTTTCCCACATACCACCCACTAGCTTTCTTCATTCTCCCTACCCTGGGAGGGTATGCTTTATGCTTTCCCATCCTTTTTGGAAAACGTGTTGTGGCCTTAGCTCTTCCACTTCCCCAGTTTGCTATTTCCCAGAGCCCATTATTAAAAAGGGACCTGGATATCCATATGGAGAGAAATAGTCCTCAGCCCAGACTCCAAAATCATTTCAAAATGGATCATAGACATAAAAATGAAAGCCAAACAATAAAATGTCTACAAGAAGACACGGGAAATTCTTTGTAACTTTGGGACAGGCAGTGATTTATTGGGATGAAAACTCACTAACCATTTATAAATGGAGAAATTGGTACCTCATCAAAATTAAAAACTTGCTGCTCAAAAGACACTTGTAAGCAAATGAAAAGGCAAGCCACAGACTGGGAGGAAACACAACACATATATTTGGCAAAGAACTTGACTTCAGAACATAGAAAGAACTCTCAAAACTCAATAATAAGATAAGCAACCCAGTGACAGATGGGCAAAAGATGTGAACAGACACCTCACAGAGAAGATCTACAAATGGCCAGTAAGCACATGAAAAGATACTCAACATTATTAATTATAAGGGAGATGCAAATTAAAGCCACAGTAAGATGTCACTACATACCTACTAGAGTGGCTAAAATTAAAAAGACAGACATCACGATAAGGATGTGGAGTAATTAGAACCCTCATACATTACTGGCAAGAATGTAAAATTGCATACTCCCTTTCAAAAACTAACATTTTCTTAAAAATATAAATGCACGTTGATCACGTGACCCAGTATTTCGACTGCTAGGTACTTGCCTTAAGATAACTAAAAATACAGGCCCACAAAAAAACTTGTACACAGATGTTCATAGTAACTTTATTCATAATAGCCCACACTGGAAACAACTCAAGGGTTCATCGACAAGCAAATGGATAAGCAAATTACGTTTGTGTTTATGAGTGCTAGTATGGAACACTACTCAGCAATAAAAAGGAACAAACCAGTGGTACACAGATCATGAATCTCACAAACGTTATGCTGATGGAAGAATACATACTGCAACCCCATGCGATTCCATTTATATGAAATTCTAGAATAGACAAATCTAATCTATAGTGACAGAATACATAAAAGGGAAAAGAGGGAATTTCTGTGGAGATAGAAATATTCTCTAACTTGTGATTGTGGCATACTTGCATAGGTATATATATATTTGTCAAAACTTATTGTATGCTTAAAAGTGGTACATTCTATTGTAAATAAATTCTGCCTCAAGAAAGTAAATTTTTTTTAAGAGGCCCTATTGGATAAAATTGGGCCCATTGGTTGAAAATTGATATGGGCCTCCATTGTTCACTTCAGCACCTAGTCACTTGCCTTGAAGAAGGAAAAAGTATGTCTAGAATGAGAGAACTCAGGGATCAAGGGTTCTCTTGCTCAGAAGGCCAAGGTCTTACCTGGGCTAGGTAGCAGCCATTTGCTGCACGAAGCTGCAGGGTGAGGCTCTCGTTGTCACATTCAAACTGGAACAAGGACATTGGGGTTACGTGCTCAGAGGCAGCATACACCTCAACATCTGCAGAGAAAGAATATGTCAGAGGGAGAGTCTGGTCTCACCCTCAGTGTCAGCCCCTCCTCCACGATTTATGGCTGGGGTTCCCTCTGTTTGCCCCCCTCAGCTTTCATCCCCTTCTGGACCATAGGAGCTTGGAAAGACCCAGGCTACTTTCCCCTAAAGCCCATGACCCTGGCCTTATCACCCTGCTCCATGGCACAAGAGATCTTCTTGGGATCCCAGCACATTCAAAAATCTTTGCTGATCCCAAACATATTTTTCTCTTTTCAGCAGCCAGCTCTCCCTCCCTCCACAGCAGTGTTGAACCCAGCACTTGCCATAGATGATGGAGAGGAACTTCCGAGTCTTTGACCTGAGGCTGACCCACGTCGGACAGCGCTGTAGGATGAACCACTCCTCACCCCTATGGGGACTGGAGCCCAGGCCCAGGAGCAGACGTGTGCCCTGTGGATACAGTATGCCTCCTTCTCCATCGCTCAGTGCCACGAGCCCTCCAGGTCGCACTTGCATGTGAAAAGCTGTCTGTGATGAGGGTTGGGGGGCCAGCCGGTCTAAGTGGGACAAGAAGAAGTGTGTTGAGGTCTCCAGGTGGTAGCATCCATCTTGGAAATGCAACAGGAAGCCACATTCCTCCAGGCAGGGCACTGGCGCATCCACCCAGACGCGGCCCGTGGTAGGGTCAGCCCGGGCATAGCAGTGGTTAATGGGGCTGTAGAGGATCACATGGACATGCAGAGCTGGCCGGGGGGTCCACATGTGGTAAGCTGAGAGGACCCTGGAGTTGCAGAACACATCTTCACCATCAGACTCCAGATAACGACCACTAATAATGCACTGGAGAGTCCACTTGCCATTGCGGTGGAAACGCAGTAGGAAGCATCCATGGTGGCTGGTCCTTGGCCGGCCATAGGATAGACTGCCATCTGCCTCGCATAGGAGGTAGAGGCCCTGAAAGCTCCTTAGTCGTACAACAGCCTGTGCGTCGTGTTGATTGCTCACCAAGATCTCCCAGGTCTAGAGGCATTGGGAGGAAGAAGGAAATCAGTACTGCCACATGACTAGGCCAGGGAGCCCTACCACCATCACCCCTGGCATCACCCTAGAACCTTCCTTGGGACCAACCACCTTCTCCTCCCCATCAGCCTCCTTGCGGTCAGCTCTTCCACCCTCTCATCCAACAGTGATCAAAAGATTTCAGGGGGCCTCTATTCCTGGAATCAGAGCGCTTCTCAAGATCCCAAGAGAAGCTCTAAATGCTTACTTCTTCCAGCTACCAGAAGGTAAACTTCCCTCTCTCTTACTTGGTGGCTTCCTTCAATACCTAATTTTCCAAGAAGTGTTTTGGTTTCAATGTTACTTTCCTCTTCCTCACTGTTGCCCCTGGAGAGCACACTAGCCACACTCCCATCCCCAAAGCCCACCTCGCCAGCATGGCAGGAGAAGAGCAAGACCTCTTACAGGTGGGTCCAGGCTCCAGGGATAAGGATGGGAACACACACAGTTGAGATGCAGTTGTCTGGTTCAGCTGTGATCAACCCTGTTCTAAACAAGGACCTTGCTACTGCCTCACTCTGTTGTACTGTTGCAGGGCTGCCTATACCCCTTTCTAAAATGAGCTCTCCTATGCTTGTAGAGTACCCCATCCCTGAACTACAGCCAGAACAGAATCATAGGCCTTGCCGTCACTCCACTTGTCCAACTTCCCTTGGACGCCCACAATTTTGTCTTCCAGCCTGGGCTGTTATCTGGCCTCTTTGTGATGACGCAACCACTCTGTATTGGGATGGAAGGAAGAGAGCAGCCAGGGAAGACTAGGAAGGAAGGGCTAACGCTTTGTCTGTCGGAACAGGTTTAGAGAGGGGGAGAGGGAGCAGTGGAGACCTGTGACCAAAAGCCTGGGGTAGGAGGCTCTCAGCCTGACAATGTCAAAGGCTGGGAAGATGATTAGGCTGAGCGTGTACCCCTGCCACCACCGCGTGTGCGCACACAGACACATGGACACACGCATACGCTCATGAGAGCTTGGCCATTGGGAAAAATGGCTCCAGTACAGGTTTGCTTTGTTACCTGTCTCCGGCCCAAACCCCTCGCAGTAGCAGTGACTATATTCTTATACGTCTCATAAGTGAGGTAGGATCCTGCCCAGCTGATGAGCCCAACCCTTAGCTCCTCAGGCTTGGGGCTTTGCGTCCACTCCACGTCATCCATGGGGCCGGCACCACACGTGATGACTCTGTCCGGCCCAGCCTTCCCCCCAGTGGTGCGGTTCCACAGGCCATAGGGCCTAGAATCAGGCCTGTAGTACCCACCAGAAGACGTTCCCAGAGGGAACTTCTCAGGCAGAGGCTGGGCTAGGGCCCAGCGCCTCTGTGACCCGGGAGCATTGTGACTGTGAGGGCTGCCTCTTATCCATAGTGGGGAAAGGGCACTGGCACAGCATTGTCAATCTACAGCCCAGAGGAAGTGGGTCTAGGGCCTTGGGCATTAATCTCCTCACATCACTCCAGGCACCGAGGTCGGCTGAACGAAGACTGGGCATCAGAACTTTGGCCTGTACCAGTGATAGCCCATGACTACAGGCAAGTCCTTCTCCTTCTTCATGCCTGTTCCTCATTTTAATGGCAGGGTAAAAACCAACCTCTTTCCACCCTCCGAAATGAGTTCTGCTTGGCTCCCTTGGGACTCAAGTGTTTTTAAAGTTCAAGATATCCAAGAAAAATCGATTAACTTTTACAGCCCTTGGGAGGATAAGGCCAAAATGTCTCAGAAGGTGCTTTTCAGGAAGTGTGAGGAAACCCTACACAGATAACCATCAAGGATCAAATTACTCATATTAATCAGAAAGGGCTGGCTTAGAGCAGGGTAAGGAAAATGCCCTAGATGGGGAGAGCACTGGGCATCTTCCTCATAATCCCCAGCCGCATTGCTGCTGGGCAGCCAGTGAGTGCTGGCCCTGAGGATATGAGCCCTTGCCCTCAAAGGGTTTCTGTTGGCCAATGGCCATTTCCTCTGTAGGGAAAGCCCCTACAGGGCTCATTTCCTACAAAGCTCATGGAGAAAATCAGTGAAGAACAAGGGGGAATTAACAACATCAAAGGAGAAAGGCAAGAGGAAATAATGGTGGTGATGGTGGTTTTTGCTTAAGCTTTGCTGGGATTCAAAGAACGGGCAGAGTAAACCACATTTGGAGAATAGCCCACACTCCTGGTTCCACTCATATGCTTTCTTATTCCCCGCGGTGGGAATAGGGGAGTAGAGGGCAGGGTTGTCTTCCCAGGTAGAAAGAGTTCCAGTGCAAGGTGAGGAACTGTAATTTGCAAGGCCCTATCAATGTTTTACAGAAAAAGGCTAATAGACTACGGGTGACAGAATCACCTGGGTAATTTTTAAGATGCATATTCTTGGGCTTCACACTGGTCCTGATGAATCATATTTTCTAAAGGTTATCTCGGGACCCTCTTTTTAATAAATATCCCCTCCCCCTGAATTTTAATGTGCACAGTAACCATGAAGAGCCACTGCTCTAGGTAGCTAGGAGATAGAGAGGAACAGGAAGTGTGTGATTTATAGAATCATGAGGTAGAGCCTGTTATCCTCAGCAAAGGCCCCCTGGAATCGGGAAGGGAGTGGAATTTCCTCCACTGGAACCCCCGAAGTACTGTATCCTCAAGAACAAGGAGGGAGAGGCTGAGCTAGGGGAAGGCAGCGATGTGTGTGTGCGCGCTGGGGGAAGGGGTTGGCTGTGCAGCCTTAGCGTTTTGAGCCTCCCCCTGTCATATTGTCCCTTTGTACCCAACAACCCAGCCTCCCCCCAAACCCCCGCTTCTAAGCTACAGACAACACTGTGTACAAACCACAGCAAATTTATTACTCAATATCCAGTGCCACATCATAGCACCACCCGGAGCCCTCACCTTCCCTCCCCATCTGGCCCCAAGGGTACACCCAAAATGGAAAAAACAAAAGTAAACCCAGATCCCTGCTCCTCCTCTGGAAATAGGGGCCTTAGCCCTGGAGGTCCCTTCCACAGGCTCCAGCAGGCAGGAGAGTGGACCCCTCCGTGCCCGGAGAGCGAGGCTCCAGGCTCCAACGACAGAGAGAACATGCAGGCAGGAGCAGGAGCAGAGGCCTGTGTCTGTGGGAGAGGAGGAGTGGGAGGGAAGGGCACTGCCTGAGGAGTCCGGGAATCTGGTCATCCCGGGATGCACGCGGGAGCTTCCGGGCAGCAGGGGCCGGCCCCTGGTTTGCTAGCGCTTCGACAGCTCATGGGACAGCCAGTCCAGCCCATCATACAGGCCTGTGCCTTGGGTGGCACAGGTGGCCTGGACGTACCACTGTGGGGAGAAGGAAGGAAAGGTCAGTAGCAGGGAAGACAAGGGGATACCTTTCCTCCTGGCCCCAGCCTGTGGCTCCCCTGGGAGAGGCAGGACCCTCACCGTGCGGCTGCGCAAGTGCTGCAGCCCCAGCTTGTCGGTCAGCTCGCTCACGGGCATGGCATTGGGCATGTCCTGCTTGTTGGCAAACACCAGCAGCACCGCATCCCGCAGCTCGTCTTCCTGCAGCTGAGAGAGACGAAGGGGATGGAATCTGGAGCCCTAGCAGGGTCTCCAGGCTTCCTCTTCCCTGCTGTGGAGGGAGCCCCCCCTTCTACCTTCCAGCATATTTGTGGGGAAGAATGTAATATTGTGCGGTCTGCTGCTGAACACAAGACGCAGAGTCATAAATCAGCTTGAGGCCATCTGGCCCGAAGTCCAGAGCCTTTGTCTAATGACTTGCCCTAGTCAAAGTGACAACATTTCCAAATGGAAAACCAAGAATGAAGAATGTAAGATGAAGTTTCTCTCCGCGACATATAATCCTCCTTTCCCTGCCAACTTCTCAGAGGCGAAGCTGTAAGAAATCAGTTTCCTGACAAGGAAAAAGTCAGTCCTATACTTTTCACCTGACTCAAATTCAAAACAGGGTGAGATACTCCTTGTGTCGGTGTCACAAAGAGAAACACTTTCAAGGCCTGTGAGGCATTTCCTGACTTTCACACTGGCACAGAGATCTCAGAGCTCTGCCTCCAAACCAGGGATCAGTTCCCAGTGCTCTGGGGGCTCACCATCTTCTGGAGCTCATCAGCAGATTCCTGGACCCGCTCTCGGTCATTACTGTCCACTACGAAGATGAGGCCCTGGGTGGGAAGGAAGAAAGAAAGGGCAAGCAATTACTCCCACCTGGGACATACCCTAGTCTGGCTTTCTTCTTCCCATCTTTGTGTCCAAACCCTTCTCATCTAAACTTTCACAAGGCTCTGCAAACATCCTGGCACAAACTGGAGACACCCTGCCCGGGATACAGCCTCTGCCCTCAGGCAAGCAGTGTGGCTAGGAGAGGTGCAAGGGAACAGGGAAAGACTTGATGAGACTTAAATGAGGCAGCATGAGGGCGCCTGGCTGTTTCGGTCAGTAGTATGTGTGACTCTTGATCCTGGAGTTGAGCTGAAGCCCCACACTGTGGGTAAAGCTTACTTAAAAAAATAAAATAAAATAAAATAAAATAAAATAAAAT